AATTTAAAACCCTGAATGTGACATTCCGCAGGCATGTCCCGACTTTTTTAATTAAACCATGTCTCAGTTATGGCAAATACATCAATGTTACCTGCACTAGAAACTAATCTCAACTCGTCCATCTTATTCCTAGCACTACGACTATTAGCATAATATACATTGAAAGACCCTCCTTTCTCTTTACCCTTCCTGCTCATTTCTGTTTTTCTACTAAACCTATTACTGTCCTTATCACCTAGTGTCACTGGCTTTTCAATATCTACCTTGTTCTGCTTATTACTAGTTTCCCTAGAACTAATATTACTACTACACTGGGACTTCACTGTTTTCCTACCAAAACCCACACCACTAACTATTCCTAGTTTAAAGTCCTAACAGCTCCCTCCACTGCGTTTACCAGTGCTCCCACCCCAAACCTAGATAAGTGAACCCCATCCCTGGCATACATGTCATTTCTGCCATAGAAGAGGTCCCAGTTGTCAATGAATGTTACTACATTTTCCTTACAGTATTTGTCCAGCCAGCAATTGACACCAATTGCCCTGGACAACCATTCATTTAAAACTCCTCTCATTGGCAAAATACCACATATGACAGGGTTCCCACCCTTCTTCCTAATTATCTCTATTGCTGACCTATACCTGCTAATCAGGTTAACCTATACCTGCTAATCAGGTAATATACTTGCTAATCAGGTAATATACCTGCTACCCAAGTAATAAGCTCAGGTGCAAGTCCGACTCAAATCCAACCCCTCTCACTCGTGTATTTATCCAACCTAAATTTGAAACTACCCAAGCCATAGCTTTTAAAACATAAGAAAGGAGGAACACTGCAATAGGCTTGTTGGCCCATACTAGGCAGGTACTTCACAAATTCAACCCACTAACAGAACAAATGCTACCCAAGCAATAAGCTCAGGTGCAAGTCCAACTCAAATCCAACTCCTCTCACTCATGTACAGTGGACCCCCGCCTAACGATATTATTTCAATCCAGAAGTCTGTTCGGGTGCCATTATAGACCGAATTTGTTCCCATAAGGAATATTGTGAATTAGATTAGTCCATTTCAGAACCCCAAAAATACACCTACAAAAGCACTTACATAATTGGTCGAGTTGGGAGCCGATCGTTAGGCGGGGGTCCACTGTATTTATCCAACCTAAATTTGAAACTACCCAAGCCATATAAGCAACAGTTAGGCAACTTTATTCCGAAACTTTTCGCCTACACAGTAGGCTTCTTCAGTCCAATACAGAAAGTAGGCAGGAACAGTAGCGATGTGAAGACGATGTAATCAGTCCATCACCCTTGAAGTCGTAGATTTGAGGCTGTCAGTCCCTCAGCCTGGAGAAGTTCAGTTCCATAGTCTGGAACTATCTGAAGATCAAGCAACAGTGCGGAGACTTAAATACTGTTGGAAGGAGAGGGGCAGAGTAGTAGTAGTAGTGAGAATGCAGCCACTGAGAGGTCATGTCCCTCTCAGATCAAACAATTCTCACTTGAAAAAGTTGCCCAAGGTGTTTTCTGTACCAAGATGCCATTGTGTTGCAGTGTCTGACAGTGTGAATATCAAAATAGTATACAATACCGACAGGTTGGTAGGTAAGACACGTAGGCAACAGTTAGGCAACTTTATTCCTAAACGTTTCGCCTACACAGTAGGCTTCTTCAGTGAAAAAGTTGTCCAAGGTGTTTTCTGTACCAAGATGCCACTGTGTTGCAGTGTATGAAAGTGAATATTAAAATGGTATAAAATACCGACAGGTTGATAGGTAAGACACATGTGTAACAGCCTACTGTGTAGACGAAACATTTTGCCTACACAGTAGGCTTCTTCAGTCGAGTACAGGAAAGTTGACAGAAGAGACATGAAGACGATGTAATCAGTCCATCACCCTTGAAGTTTTGAGGTGGTCAGTCCCTCAGTCTGGAGAAGAGTATCGTTCCATAGTCACTTCAACTCCATATTGTTTCAGACTATGGAATGATACTCTTCTCCAGAGTGAGGGACTGACCACCTCGAAACTTCAAGGGTGATGAACTGATTACATCATCTTCACGTCTCTTCTATCAACTTTTCTGTACTCGACTGAAGAAGCCTACTGTGTAGGCGAAACGTTTCAAAATAAAGATACTTAACTGTTGCATATGTGTCTTACCTATCAGTGTCTGACAGTGTGAAGAAGCCTACTGTGCAGGCGAAATGTTTCAAAATAAAGTTGCCTAACTGTTACCTATGTGTCTTACCTACCAACCTGTCGGTATTGTATACCATTTTGATATTTACCCAAGCCATAGCTTTTAGAACATAAGAAAGGAGCAATACTGCAATAAGCTTGTTGGACCATACTAGGCAGGTCCTTCACAAATCCAACGCACTAACAGCATAACTGCTACCCAAGCAATAAGCTTTGATAAACCTATTTACTCATGTGCAAGCCCGATTCAAACCAACCCCTCTCACTCATGTCCAACCTAAATCTGAAACTACCCAATGTTTTAGCTTCGATCACCCAACTAGGCACACCACTCCACTCATCAGCTACCCCTATTACCAATTTTCATTTATTCATTTTATTACCGCTTTACATTTATTTGGCATTCTTTTCTGCATATAAATCTATATTTAAGCTAGGGAAGTGACCCCTGAAGTGACCTAGAGTCCTTATGGAGGGGGATTACCCTTCCAAACAATAACCTCTCTTCCCTCTCTCCTCCTCCCTGTCTTCCATTCATCGACAACAGCCTTCAATAAAGGTAACTGTCATGTTGAATGTTCATTCTTTTGTGCATGTAAATCTATCTTTAAGGTAAAAAAAAATTGTTGTTGATACTTCTGGGTGTCTGGAACGAATTAATTGGATTTACATTATTTCTCATGGGAAAAATGGATTCGAAAATCGTCAATTTCGATAATAGTCACACTTCCAGAAACGGATTAATTACGAAAAACAAGGGACCACTGTACAGTAGGACCCCACTTATACAGCAGGTTAGGTTCCAGGCTACCGCCGTAAAGCGGAAATCGCCGTAAAGTGGAACACCCTTTTTTTCCACTTATAAATGCATACAAATACTAGACAACAAGTTTACACTAACATATATTAAGTTAGCAATAGAACCAGGCATCAAAAAAAAATATAAGTATAATACATACATACAGTGCACTCAATACTTGCCTTAAAATATTTGTAGACTTAATCTAGGGTAAGATGAGTAGTATTTATTGTAAGAAATCAAGTGTAGTATGTATGGTAGTCAACGGGGCTACCATACCAGGCCACCCCACCTACACATAATATTCCATTACATTTAAGCATCCCAGAGCGATAAAATGTATATACAGTTCACTCATTACTTACCTTAAAATATTTGTAGTCTTAATGTAGGGTCAGACAGAGGTGAGTAAACGAGATAAAACAAATAAATGAAAGTGAGAGAGAATGAGTACATGAGGGAGGACAGGCGCAGAGTTATGTAAACAAACCGGGCAAACACAAGTTTTGTAAACAAACAAAGTGTACACGTCTGGTTTGTGTACAAGTTACATTGTGTACAAGTTGTCTCTACATTGATACGGTAGAATAAATAAAGAAGAACACTCCCATTCTCATGTAACATCATTTTTAGAAGAAATGACGCTCTGAGTGAAGGCAACGGAAATAAGTCACTCTGTCTGACTTTTTTGGGTTATCCTAGGTTCTCTACACATATGCTGTTATGTATGATAATCTATGTAACTGTATTTGTGTATACCTGAATAAACTTACATACATATGAAAGGAATAATTTTCTACAGTTACCCCCAGTAACATATTTTCTCTTATGTTAGACTAGAGAAAATGTTATTCTTGCCATCACTTGTACAAGTTATCTGGCTACGACATCTCATATTTATGTTTATTTATTCTATTGTGGGGTGTATTTATCATCTTTATGTGTCATGTATCGTGTTTATTATATAATTTTGAAAAAATATCATGAATGGATTAATGAAAATGTGCATATTAACGTAATATACGACATTTAATGAGACGGTGATTATTATTATTATTATTTCTAATATGGTGTCACTTGTGCAAGTCGTCTGGCTACCAAATCTCATATATATATTTATTCTACTGTGGGGTGTATTTATCATCTTTATATGTTATGCATCATGTTTATTATATAATTTTGAAAAAATATCATAGATAGATTAATGAAAATGTGTATATTAACGTAATATACGACATTTAAATGAGACTCGGTGATTATCATCATTATTAATATGAGGTCTCGAGATATAAGACACTCTTACTGATTTTAATGTGAACCTGCACGCCAGCACAGTATGCAAGTTAATTTAGGTACAGGTATACATAAGTATAATTATCAGAGTACGTAGATATAAAATATGAAATACCTTTTAAAAACACTTGAAATTTTGGAGTTTCCAGACATAATGGAGAGACTTAGTGCTTACGGATCTCACAGAGAATGTAAACAAACCGGGTGGGGTGCGGTGACCATATTAGAAAGTCAGGTGGGGGAGCCGTATAGTGAGTTTTGGTCATAATTTGAAATGACCGTATTAGCGGAACGCCATAAAGCAAAACGCCGTAAAGTGGGGCCCTACTGTATACTATATATACACACATTATATACTATATTGGTCTCACAGGCCACAAATCTACTGGAAAAAATATATTAGAAAAGAAAAGAAAAAAAGTAAGAAAAAAGTAACAAAAAATGCAACTTTACGGAAGTCACGGATGTTGCTGCCACCCAGTCATTGAGAGTCAACTTCATGCCTCTATATCTCGGTAAGTACTGATCGAAATTTTTGTTGTTGTTGTCTTATTCCCTTTCGAAAAATAAAAGCTTCAATTCTGTAAGTAATATTTTTTTTTTTAAATTCTTGGACCCTGGCTCACACTTTGAGAGGTGGCCTCTGGACCCTGAAAGAGTTAATTAATACTGTGCTATACATTGTGGCCTGAACTTAAATTATTTACCTTGAGAACTTCATCCCAAACTTTCTTGCCTTTCTTCCTCCTCTTAATTCCCTTCTCACGAGCATACTGTTCCCACTTGGTTATTTCTTTGCCTTTAGGTACAGGTTTCTCCCTTGGTAATCTGCCACATCAGAAAGAAAATAATCTGTAACAGATGCATTTTTAAAAATATGTAACACGATATATTTCATAATAGCCAAAACATAAAATATCAGTTTCAATACAATGTACTTTACAGTAAAACTTATCATATCTGTTGTTTCAATAACCTTAAACCAACTCCTAATATCCAGTTTCATAATTTTTTTAACAATTTTAAAACTAAGAAAAATGCTGACTTGGCAGAGGTAAAGGTGTGGCTGACTCAGGGAAGAACATGTGGGAGGGTTTGCTGTGGACACAAGCTTGTTCTGCTCTTGTTCTAAAGCTGCATCTAGTGTCATGACCTAGTATAAAACCAATAATGTTTCAAAAAGTGCTGTGTCTGTGTGCTGTACTAAATTGTGTTTGTAGATGAATGGTTCAGAGAACCGACATGTTGATAAATTGTGTGCTGAAAATAAAAATAAAGCATTTTGAATCAACTGACTGATACTAGTGAAGAAACCTCCACACCAAGTCTGGAAGAGGAATCTGTGAAATCATGAATCTGAAACTGGTTACCAGGGTTTGAAAAATTTGTTTCCATTCATTTTATGGAGTCCAGAAAGAAATTAGCTACGTAACAATTGTTGTTTTTTTTTTCAACACACCAGATGTCTCCCAAAATGGTAGGGTAACCATAAAAAGAAGCCCTTTCACCATTACTCACTCCATCACTGTCTTGCCAGAGGCATGCTGATAATTCAGTTCTGAACTCCCACCCCTCATTCAAAATATTCCTAATACCTTTTATTTTTTTATTTATTATATTATCACCCGGCCCGATCCCCCCAAAGGGGGTGCCCAAAAAGAAAAACTTTCCCCATCTTTCACCCACATGTCTTGCCAGAAGGGGTTTTACACTACTTTTTTAAACTGCAACATTAAACCCCTCCTTCAAGTGCGGGCATGTACTTCCCTCTCCGGGACTAATCCGGCCTCCCGGGTTTCCCAAATCCCTTCAAAAATGTTATTTTGCTCACACCCAACAGCATCAAGTATTAAAAACCATTTGTTCCATTCACTCCATCAAACGTCAACATGCCGCTGGAAGCCAAGCCCCCGCACACAAAACCCCTTTACCCCCCCCCTCAACCCCCCCTAGGCCGCCCCCTACCCCCCTTTCCCTTCCACTACAGACTGATCACTCTTAAAGTCTTTCGTTTCGCTCCATTCCTCTAATGCCGAACCCCTAAACAACCCTTCCTCACCCCCGGGGAAAAAGTTTTGGTAATCCCCACCTCCTCCTAACTTCCAAATACGAATTCTCGATTAATTCACCCCACACTTTGCCCTCAGAAGACATCCCCACTCCTCCAGCCTTTCCCGCTGCAACATTCTCACCCACGCTTAAACCCCCATATAAGAGCGTTTAAAACTATACTCTCATACATTCCCCTCTTTGCCTCCAGGCAAATTTCTTTTTTCCCCAAAGACCCCAAGTGCCCCACTCACCTTTTTCCCTCATAAATTCTTGTTCACCTACTTTTATAGACCCTCCGCTGACAGTCCACCCAAATATTGAATGTTTCCCCCCTCCAACTCTTCCTCCTTGATTTCAATTTTCATCCCTAATCTTTTTGTTATCCTATAAAATTTTTTTCCCGATTCACCTTTTAAATTTTTTTCCCTTTTTTACCCCTACAATTTTATCCACCAAATCTCTGAAAATTCTTCAGAAATTTCCCAAAAGCCCGGGCATCACAAAGAGCGCTGGCAACCCCCCTTTTTGTGTGATTCTTTATCTTTTAAAACCCCCCTTTGCCAAAACCCTCGCATTTTTTTTCTTACAACCCCTCTTAAATATATTAAACAACCCGGGACATCACACTCCTTGTCTAACCTTCTTTTTGGGGAAAAAATTTCCCTCTTTCCAATACTCTAATTGAGCCCCACTTCCTGTAAAACTTTCACTGTTTTAGAACCTACCCCCTAACCCCCTACACTTGCAAAATCTCACATTGCCCCCTATCCCCCTGTCATACGCCTTTCCAAATCCATAATGCCAAAAACCTCTTAGCCTTATCTAAAAACTGTTCCTTTTTTTTTCACTGAAAAAACCCTGGTCCCACACCCCCACCTTTCCTAAAGCCCCCTTGTTATTGTTCCTATTTTCCGTCTTTCTCTTAATTCTTTAATTATAACTTACCATACACTTTACCAGGGACACTCAAAGCTATCCCCCCAAAATTTTTTCACTCTTTTTATCCCCCTTTTCCTTTTTACAAAGGAAACATGATGCTCTCTGCCCTCCCCGGTTTCCTTTCCCCTCCATACATTTATTAAACAAATTTCACCAACCCCTCCAAAACTTTCCCCACCTGCTTTTAACTTTCTATTTTATCCCATCAATCCCCGGGCCTTACCCCCTTTTATTTTACCTATGCCTCACGAATTCCCCACACTCACAACTGGCTCTTCCTCCCACAAGTGTTATTTCCCCCTTGCCCATCCCCGAAAACACAGTTTTCCCTATCTTCACAACATTTAACAATTCTAAAAATTTTCCCTTCCATCTTCCCAATCCTCTAACTCTCCATTTAAAACTCTCCCTCCATTTTTAACGGGACAAATCCATTTGTTCTCTGGGCTTTCTTACTTGTTAATCTCACCCCAAAAAAACTTTTTCTTATTTTCAAAAAAATTGTTGATAACATCTCACCCCTCCTATTTTTCCTCTTTTTACTTGCTTCACCACCTCTTAACCTCTCTTTTTTTCTCCATTTAAAATTTCCCCCCCTTTCATCACTTCTACTTTTTAAAAAAAATTTTCATATGCAAAATTTTTCTCCCCCTTCTATCTCTTTAATCTCATTCCACCAATCGCTCCTCTTCCCCCCGCACCCATTTTTTGAACCCCAAACTTTCTGTGAACACTCTAACACACATTTTTTTAAACCCACCCCATACCTCTTTGACCCCTTGCCCATGCTCTCATTAGCCACTATCCCCAAGCTGTTTATATCTTACCCTAACTGCCTCCTCTTTTAGTTTATAAACCTTCACCTCTCTCTTCCCTGATGCTTCTATTCTCCTTGTATCCCATCTACCTTTTACTCTCAGTGTAGCTACAACTAGAAAGTGATCTGATATATCTGTGGCCCCTCTATAAACATGTACATCCTGAAGTCTACTCAACAGTCTTTTATCTACCAATACATAATCCAACAAACTACTGTCATTTCGCCCTACATCATATCGTGTATACTTATTTATCCTCTTTTTCTTAAAATATGTATTACCTATAACTAAACCCCTTTCTATACAAAGTTCAATCAAAGGGCTCCCATTATCATTTACACCTGGCACCCCAAACTTACCTACCACACCCTCTCTAAAAGTTTCTCCTACTTTAGCATTCAAGTCCCTACCACAATTACTCTCTCACTTGGTTCAAAGGCTCCTATACATTCACTTAACATCTCCCAAAATCTCTCTCTCTCCTCTGCATTCCTCTCTTCTCCAGGTGCATACACGCTTATTATGACCCACTTCTCGCATCCAACCTTTACTTTAATCCACATAATTCTTGAATTTACACATTCATATTCTCTTTTCTCCTTCCATAACTGATCATTTAACATTACTGCTACCCCTTCCTTTGCTCTAACTCTCTCAGATACTCCAGATTTAATCCCATTTATTTCCCCCCACTGAAACTCTCCTACCCCCTTCAGCTTTGTTTCGCTTAGGGCCAGGACATCCAACTTCTTTTCATTCATAACATCAGCAATCATCTGTTTCTTGTCATCCGCACTACATCCACGCACATTTAAGCAACCCAGTTTTATAAAGTTTTTCTTCTTCTCTTTTTTAGTAATTGTATACAGGAGAAGGGTTACTAGCCCATTGCTCCCGGCATTTTAGTCGCCTCATACGACACGCATGGCTTACGGAGGAAAGATTCTTTTCCACTTCCCCATGGACAATAGAAGAAATAAAAAAGAACAAGAGCTATTTAGAAAAAGGAGAAAAACCTAGATGTATGTATATATATATATGCATGTGCGTGTCTGTGAAGTGTGACCAAAGTGTTAGTAGGAGTAGCAAGATATCCCTGTTATCTTAGCGTGTTTATGAGACAGAAAAAGAAACCAGCAATCCTACCATCATGCAAAACAATTACAGGTTTTTGTTTCACAGTCATCTGGCAGGACGGTAGTACTTCCCTGGGTGGTTGCTGTCTACCAACCTACTACCTACCCCATCTAATAACTCCCCTCTTCCGTCTTTAACTATCAAATCCATTCATTCCCCAGGCTTTCTCAAATTATTAATCTCATTCCAAACTTTACCCTCATTCTCAGCCAAATTTATTGGCAATACCTCTCACATACTCATTTGCTCTTTTACATTCCCTTACCACTCTCTTAACTTCTCTTTCAGTCTCCATATACTCCATTATCCTTGTATCACTTCTACTTTGTAAAAATCTTGTGATGTAGGAGGGTATGGTTTCACATATCAGGTCACAGGAGAACCTGACCAGCCAGTGATAATGTGTCACACCCTGGCAGTCTTAGGAAAGTGTTAAAAACAGGGATATACCAAGGGAGGACACCTGCGTCCTGCCTTCTCAGGTCTCATTGTTCAAGAAGCCTATCCTTTGTGTAAAGCACATGTGGTGTGCCCCCATGGAGGGTGACCCCTGAAACTTAAGAGTTAAAGGGCAAGGGAGACATGGAGGACCATATAAGCCCAAGGAAACTGCTAAGAGGGGGGGATTCAGGGAAAGCTTTTGCCTGTGTACAAAACTCAGAGAGGGAGCTGGAGTCTGTGGGAGACTTAAGGCTCTGTTCTAACTGGAAGCAGAGAGCTCTGGAGAGATAACTGTCGCCAGTTTGGGTCTTGGGACCAGTGGCTAGAGGTCGACAGAGTTCCTTGAGGTGACCTATCTACTGAACTTATATTGTAAGTTATATTCACTTTTGCAAGCTAAATCATATCCCCTGTCTCAATTTGTGTACAACCCCATTTATT